GGCCGCCACTCACGCCCCGCAGACGCCGCCGCCGCCCGCAGCCCGCCCGCCATCCGCCGGGGCTGGGAGAGCGGCCTCCCCGCTGCCCCCCACGGAACCCCTGGAGGGCTGCTTCTAGCATGCGGTCCTCTGCGCCGCTGCCCTGGCTTCTTCTCCCTCGGCATGGGGGGCCTGGGGCCTGGAGGGAGCGGATGTCACGGGGCGGCAGGACCGGGCCTGAGCCACACGTTCGCCAAGCACTGCCGCGGCGTTCGCCAAGGCCCGACTGGTCCCACGCGGAGTGTGGCATGGCGGGGACTCGAGGGCACATCGTGAGATGCAGGGCCTGGCCCGGGGCTGGGTATGCAGAAGGTGTATAATAAGTGCTTGAAGGAGACCCGCTGGCGGCGGAGTCGGGGGGCTGCACGTGTGAGACGCGCAAAGTCTGGCGGGTTTGGGTGGCATGCGAGGCAAGTCCCCATCTGCATTTCAGAGCTGGGGACCGGTGAGTGGCCCGACCCCTCAGCCAGTGCCTCGGTTTCCCCGCCCATGTATGAGTAGGAGGGGACCCTGGCACAGCCCGCCTTCTGAGAGCTCCCTTGCTGTCCACCCTTCTCCGCCTCGGGAGGCCCTGGGGCGTCAGTCGTCCCTCCCCTGGGCCATGCGGAGCCGGTGACGGTGGAGGAGGTATTTACTGGCGCTTCTGGGACACCAGCACGCTGTCCTTGCCACTGAATTTGGCCGGGTCAGCATGTGAGGTTGGGGGCCGCAGTCGCTTTGCGGCCACGAGGGATTTGGCCATAAGGAGGGATGGGGCCATCCCGGAGGAAACAAAGCCAGAAGGGTCTCAGGCAGCAACCTCTGACCAGACAGCACCTGGATCAAGCCGCACCTGAAGCGGTTGCCTACAGATTTCAAAAAAGTTAACTCCTTTTATAGAGCAATTTTTAGGCCCAGAGCAAAACTGAGGAGAAGGTTTCCTGCAGACTTTCCTGCATTGAGCCCCCGCACTCCCTCCCGCCTTACGCCATTTTAGTTTTGTCTGTCACTTGCGACCCAGCGCTCTGACTGGCACAAGCTCCAGCCCTGTGCTGGCCACTGAGCCTTGCTGCCAGGCTGGCAGCCACGTGCTGCCCCGGGCCCCACAGGGCTCCAGGGAGTGTGGGCGCCTCGACTGGTCCTTCCTTGGGGGTTGCTGGCTTAAGCTGAGGCTGCACTGGGCTTGGGGGTTGGGGCTGTGCAGCTGGGCCTCTTGGACTGCACCCTGTTGGGGTCCAAGGTGGGTGAAGGGTCGGGGGTTTCACTCAGCAAACACCTGCTGGGCACCCACGGCGTGCCGGCCCCGTGCTGGGAGCTGGGGAGCCAGCGGTAGCCGGCACGCGAGCTGCAGGGTCTTTTCCAAACCCTGCCGGTGCCTCGTCACTGAGCTCGCAGGTGTGCAGAGCACGTCGGCCCGCGTTCCGGGTCCGAGCCCGCCCGGGCACAGGGTGGGGCCTTGGGCGGTCTGACCAGCTTCAGCTTTCAGCTTTCGCCAAATGAGAAATTCTCAAAGCAGCTGCCTTTTATGAAAGCAGAAAGGGGAGCAGAGGGAGGAAGGAGCCTGTTCGCAGGGCACGGCTTCTGCCCACACCACGGAGAGGAGGCCGCGCCAGCCCAGACTTCTATGCCGGAGGCGAGGAGCTGGGCCAGGGCAGGGCCGGACGCCGTGGGCGGAAAGGCCGCAGAGTGCCATGGCCACGGCCCCTCCCGCTGTTCGTTCGCTCCACAAACACACATATCTTTATTGAGATGGAGTTCACACACGGTAAGATTCGCCTTTCCGAAGTACACACGTCAGGGGTTTTAGTATATTCACAAGGTCATGCGACCTTCAATAGACTGCATCTGATTCTGGGACATTTTCATCGCCCCAAAGGCATCTGCATCCACAGCAGTCCCTCCCCCCACTCCCCAGCCCTTGGCAGCCACTGATCTGCTTCCTGTCACCACCAACCTGCCTGTTGGGGGAACTTGGTAGAAAGGGGTCACGTGCTCTAGCTTTGTGTGTCTGGTGTGATTTTCCCAAGACGTGTTCCTTTTTTATGGCTGAATGATGTTCCGTGGTCCAGGGTGCTCACTGCCCCCACCCCTCCCCTCCCGCCATTGCTGACTAAGCACTTGCTGTGGCAGACACCAGGCTCTGTGCCCAGGATGTCGCAGTGAGGATGAGCGGACAGACACGGCCCTACCACAGACATGCTCGCGAGGAAGGACAAAGCAGAGAGAACGAGGCCGTGGCATGCTCGGACATGCTCAGAAGGGAACGAAGAACATACACACACACCAACACACATGCAGAGTCAGTCGATGAGAACGGGAAGCCAGCGAGAAGCCGGCAGAGGCCTCTGGGAGGGGTGAAGGCGGCGGCGTAGGAGGGAGGGGGAGGGCTCCGGGCAGGCGCGCGAAGGCCCTGGGCGCGCGGAGCTGCGCGTGTCGGGGAACAGAGAGGGTGGGCACATGATGAGCCTGCGCGGGTTCTGGACTTTGCCCTGAGATCGCGAGGAAGCCAGCGTCGTCCTTTTATTAGGAGAGGGATGTGATCAAGTTTATGACTTTACATATGCACAGAAATCAGGCTATGAGCAGCCAGGAGTATTAGCGGGTGGAGCGTGGATAGTAAGAAGGTGAATTCGTTCATTCGGTTTTGTAGAGAACTGGTTGTAATCACACCAAGAAGATGTTGCACCCGCTAGGACAGCGGTCCCCAACCTTGGTGGCCCCAGGGACCGGGGCTCCCATGAGCATCTAACGCCTGATGATCTGAGGTGGAGCCGAGGCGGCGATGCTGGCGCCGGGAGCAGCTGGACCGCGGGTCACCTCCTGCTGTGTGCCCGGTTCCTAACGGGTCAGGGACCGGGACTGGTCAGCGGCCTGGGGTTTGGGGACTTCTGTACTGGGACATTCATTCCTTGTTTGACACATCTTTATCAAGCATCTTCTAGGGAAGAAAAGAACTATCGTTTTCAAGAGCCCTAGACAAAAGTTCTCTAAATACACCCGCTTTACTTCATGCAACGAATATATTTGCAGAGTTGTGTGTAAACCCAATTTTAACGAATTTAATTATCGGTAGAATTTCCCCGGAGGAAAATTAAGTATTTAAAAGAAATCCAGGATGTTCTATTTTTAGCAAATAGTGGACTATATTTTTAAATCAATCTCCTCCCTGAGGAAAACTAGAAAAGCTAGATAAAATATAAAATAAAAGCATTTGTTTAAAGGCGTCCTTCAAAGGCACTAAAGAGTGACCAAGTAGCTCAGACTCGCGCTGGCAGCAAAGGAGAACCCCCACCTTTTCTCGCAAGATGTTTGCCGATTCCGAAACCGGCGGCCAAGAGTGGCAAAGCTGCATCGCACTTTCAACAGACTTCCGGGCACGGGACTGAAAGCACGGAGCTCGGGGCTCCCCAATGGGGAAGAGCCCCCCTAGCACTCTGGTCTTTGGGTCCGGCCCTGAAGCGCAGCCTCCCAGGAGTGGGGTGAACTGGGGACAAATCATCCCACCAGACAGACACACAGCTGATGAAGGTCACGGGTGAGGATGATCTCATAACGGAGCGAGAGTAAATCTTTTATGAGAACAATGACATCCCACGTAGGCTCAAGTTGTCTCTCCAATCCTTCCTACGCAAGGTCCAGCACTTAACGAACTGGGCACACAAGATGACAAAACCTCCCCGAAAACAAAGAGAAAACACAGACGACAGCCCGGCCCAGAGGAGATGGAGGTAGCGCGGTAGTCGGAAGAAAGACTCAAAAACCAACACGTCTCAGCTTAACATGGTCAAGGAACTGAGAGGATGAGACAGAAAGACGTGGCAGAGAACTCGAAACTGTAAAAGACACACAGAGCAGAGAACCCGTAGTTGAAAAACAATCGAACTTAGGAATGTGAACGGATTAAACCAGCGATTAAATTTCAGTTGGAACATATCTCAGAGAACATGTCCAGACCAAACCTAAGACGCACGCGACTTCGGCGGATGCGTCGTGCGTACAGTTGGAGTCTGAAAAGGACCAAAGGAAAGAACGGGACAGAAGCGATATTTGAAGAGATAACGGCTGAAAATTTCCCACAACCGAAAAAAGATACCGAGCCCCAGATTCAAGAAGCGCTAAACATTCTAAGTGGGATAAATATGAAGAAATTCACAGTGCGTCACATCGTAGTGAAACTGCTAAAAGCCCAAGACAAGAAAATTTAAAAGCGCGTAGGGAATGTTTCTAAATGGCATAAAACTTTTAATGCCATAAAGGAGACTTAGGGCTGATTTCTCAAAAGGAATGATGGAAGCCGGACGACGATGGAGTGAAGGAAGGTCTGACAGAAAATCACGGAAAACCTAGGATTCTCCGTTCCCGAGGAAAGCTTTCTAAACATGAAAGTAAAATGAAGACATATTTAGACAATCGAGAAACACAATTCATCGCCTGGAGACCCGCTTTAAAGAAAATGCGAAGGGCGCTTTTCAGGCAGAAGGACAGTGGTCTTGGAGGACAGCTCAGGAATGCAGGAAGGTAGGAGCTGTGCGTGTGTGCACGTGCGCGTGTGTGCCTGTGTGCACGCGTGTACATGTGTGTGCATCTGTGTGCATGCCTGCGCGTGCGTGCATATGTGCATCTGCATACGTATGTGCATGTGCGTATGCACGTGTGCATCTGCATGCGTGTGTGCATGTGTGGATGCGTGTGTGCATCTGTGCATGCATGTGTGCATGTGTATGCATGTGCATCTGTGCATGCGTGTGTATGCATGTATAAATGTTTCTATAAAGGATACATATATGGGTGCATCTCAAGAAAAACAATTTCATGAGAAACAATTTTGCCTCGTGAGGTTCTAAAGCTGCTTACACGAACGAACTAGCAAAGAGCACGTGCGGAGCTTCACGTGCAAAGTGAACAGCACGCCCGGCTGTTGCGGGCATTTCTCCTTCGTAAAGCCAAGCGCCTGCACCGAGAGAGCCACAGCGGGGCACCGTGTGCTACCGGAAACCACCCGTCCCTACGAAGGGACGTCACCCGGCGTCGGTGGTGATGGGATCGGCCACCGGCTTTGCAGAGGGCCCCAGGCCCCCGGCATCTCTGAGGCTGTTGTTTATGAGACGGGTGAGGATCGGCGGACATGATGCGCGTGCCGGGCACGGTGGCCAGGGCGGGGACGGACATGGAGAAGGTGGAGGGGAAGAGAGACAGGCAGATGATTCACGGGGCAGAAAAAGCAGAGTCGTGTCTGTCGTATGCACTGAGCTCAACTGTTTTGTGAAGGAGAAATATTGTAACAAAAATAAGAGGAAGAATAAAGGTCAGTCCTTTGCGTTACGCGAATTTATCTTCGTGAAAGCAGCTGCCCACGGAGAGGCTTTGCTTCCTCTTCGCGGCCGCGCCCGCTGCAGCCGGCCATGGCTGTCTCGGCACAGAGGGCCAGCGTGCACGTGATGGGGCAACACGCCTCTCGCCTGCTTCCCGGGGCAAGGCTCACGGCCACTGTCCTGTGGACTCGCCAGGAGGACGGCCGTGGACACCAGGATGGCTGTGGTGAGCACGCAGACGCCCAGGTCTGTCTTTGGGCCGAAGACGGGGGGCACTCGCTCCATGGCCTGTCGTGGGTTTGGGGGCTCGAGGGCGCTCTGCACCTTGCTTTTGCACCGTCTCTGATCACGGGAACGTGGCACCTCCGGGGGCACCACCGTCCTGGGGGTGCAGCGCGAAGGTGTGGCCTTGCCTGCTGCCCCACGGAAGAGGCAGCGGCCCCAGGGAGCTGCCCGGCAGGGCCGCAGGAGGGACGAACCCGGCGGGCCGAGGAGCCGTGGCCCGGCCGGACCCCCATCCTCCAAGTCGTTACTCTTCCGGTGTCGGGTGTCGGACGTGACGGGGAACACTCCGTTCTGGGGTCGTCGCTGACTAACGAAGCCCTGGCCAGGTGCTGATCGGGGGCCGTTTGGTTAAACAGAGCCGTCTCCGCCAGGGCCGGCGGCATCCGCGCTTCCTGCCGTGTTTGAGGAAACCGGCCGCCTTGCCGCCTGGGGGGCCAGCGTGCGCTCCAGCGGCCGGTCCTACGGCTTGGCCAGCCTGGCCGCCAAGGGCCGCTTGCTGCGAGCACTCGTCCCCCACAGAAGAGGCGGCCCCCAGGAGACACGGCGGCCGAGTCGGATCACGT